AAGCCCTTGGCTTTGATCCTAGATACGGGGTTAGACCCTGATGTGAACTAAGTTCAAAGTTCCCCTGGGAACAAGCACCTGTGGGGCTGGGGAGGGTGCTGCAGCCCAGACCCCAGGTGTGCACACGGTGTCTGACCTGCTCCCACTTTCCACCAGACCTGAGACGTAGCAGAGGCCAGAGCTTCCTAGACTTCCTGGTTCCTGGCACCCTCAGTGTCCTGGTGATTTTTTTTTCAAACATCCCTAGGCCGAAAGAAATACCAACATTTTTATTAAGTACTTAGATCCAAACAACTTAAGCATTTGTGACAAAAAGACTTAGTGGGTTGTTTGGAAAAAGAACACACCTATGTTGGAAGAAAAATCATTTAATTCTCTAATAAGCGCAGTTACTAATACTAGGTGATGCCTGCTGGGCCCTGCGTGACTTCTCACACTGGACTTAGATGGCCACCCCCCATTTCTGTGCCACGGGTTTTTGCCTGGCACTTGCTGTTTGTCCTAGCATCCAGTGACACCGTGGAACTGGGATTGCCGTCACCGTAGCAAAAACACATGCTGCAGGTGTGGCTTCCCTTGAGCTAGCAGTGTGTGTGCCATGTGACAGATGTCAAGCCTTGCTGTGTCACCACCAAATCTTAATAGTCCCCAGGACCCTGTGCCCCCCCCCCCCCCCCAGTGCCCTGGGCGGAGGCTCGGCACAGTGGTGGTAAGCACAGGTAGGGAAGCCAAGCGGTGAGAGCGCCCAGCGGATGGTAGCCAGCGGTCAGGTGTGGACCCTGTGGGAAGGCCTGCTGCGTTGAGAGCTGGATCGCAGGCCCGGTAGACACATCTGGGTGCCCACCTGGCTTCTGCCCTTTGGGAGAAGGGGGATGTTAGAGCCTGACTTAGGAAGCCTGTGAAGGCTCAGCGGTAGAATTTCACATGCAGGGAGCCTGGACCTTTCCTAGGGCTGCCCCCCGGCCCCCCCCCCCCCCGCCCCCAGGGACTGCTACTATGACAACTCTACCACGTGCCCCAAGTGTGCCCGGCTCACCTTGCGGAAGCAGTCACTCTTCCAGGAGCCTGGTCCAGATGTGGATGCCTAGAGCAGCAGGCACCCCCCCACCCCAAGCCTTTCTGGCATCCAACCTGCTGGTCATTGCCAAAGTCAAGGTGTTTTTTGTGTTCTGGAGACCCCAAGGGTGCAGCCCCTGGACGTCTCCCTTGTGCTGGGCCGGAGGGGTGTAAGCAGCACCATGAGGCCCGTCATCTGTCTCCCAGGCATTTGCTGGGATGTGGTGCAGCCTGGCTCTTTGCTGGGTGTGCTGCTGTGAAGGCTTCAGGGCTCCGTAAGCAGGGGAGTGGGCAAAGGGCGCCTCACCTCCCTGGTGGCAAAGAGCCTTGGGGCCGAGGCTGCTGGGCTTTGGCCACCCTGGAAACCCAGAGAGGACTTTGTGGGAGTAGCCAACAAACCCTGGGGATGCTGGCTACATACACCCAGACTTGGCCTGAGGAAAATCTGCAGTGGATGATTTGGATCTACCTGGAGCCTCCCATCCCCCAGCCCCTTGTCTGTTTGGAGACTTCTAGTTGTCTCTGGCTGGGGCCGTCTACAACCGTCTCCTGAGGGCTCTGCCCCTGCCTCTTGAGGTTCTGTCTCTAGGTTCTCCTCTGACAGGACCAGCCCCGGGGGTTACCTGTTCTGTACAACGTGGAGGGAAGGGGGCCGTGGTCTCTTCCTCCTACTCCCCCAGCCTACCCTGGTGCTCCAGGCTGGGTGGCTGGGGGTCCAGTTGGAAGAGGCTATCCTGCTTCCCAGTTTGGAGCAAGGACTATGCCCCTGGGGGAATTCTAGGTTAGGCAACGGGGTTGGCAGCAGTAGGCCTGTGTGGCTCTTCTGGGAACTCTCTGCCTGAGGAGCTCCATGCTGCTTCCACAGTGCCTGCGGAGGGCTCTGGACGGCCCAGAGACCACCAGCCAGTGGTCTTTTGCTTGGGGCCTGGAGGTGCTGGGAGTATTTGCTCAAGGGAGCTTTGGGCAGGAATCTTAGAGCCCATGTGGGAAGCCTGGAGCACAGGATGTGGAAGGTCCTGTACACCAGCTGACAAATGGGACCCTCAGGCAGAAGGTGAGAACCCACAGGTTCTTCACTGGTGGAGCCACAGTCAACCTCGGTGTTTGCAGGGACGTTTTGTGCTTTAGAGACCTTGCCATTGAGGGGGGAGTCCTGTGGGAAGGGGACATTTCAGGATGTGGCTCTCCAGCCTTTTGTGCCCTCTTGCCCAGACTGTGGTCAGCTGTTGATGCATATGGTTGACATACATATGTGGTGGGGGTGGGGTGGACAGGGAACATAGCCACTTGGGTATCCATCACCTTTGGCTAGGAAACCCAAGAGGAGATGCTTCAGCCAGCAGAAAAGTCGGCTTAGCCTGCTGGAGGATCAGAGGGGTGGCTAAAGACCGTGTCCCCTCCTCCTGGCTCTTCTGCGCCGTCAGAAAAGCCTCCGTTGGTGGCTTTAGGCAATCCTCTCACCGAGTGTTCTGATCTGCCTTGGGGTAACAGTGAGAAGCAAACACGGGTGCGGTTGGGTCAACAGGTCCCTGCCCTGCTTCCCCTTCCTCTCGAGGGCTGAAGAGGGGCTTAAGGTCCAGATGCCCTTTTCCTGCACCCCCAGATCCACACATTTTCCACCACTGCTTTCCATTTCTGTCAGAAGGATACTGGCCATTCCCGGCTTTACCGCGTAATGGACGTCACATCACTGTAGTTACAATCACCACGTCCATAGAAAGCGTTAATAAGTTGCCATCTGCTGGATGAGGTGTTGGCCCCTTTTCTTTTTAACAACCCCCATTCCCTCCTCCCCCAATATCGCCATCTTCCCCTTCTGGATGACCGAGTCTTTAAACAAGATCACGTGTGGGTCTTGGAATCCAAGCACTGTAGCCAGGACCCACCAAAGAGCCAGTTTGCACGGCCAGCGCTTCACAGAAAAGCAGCAAGGGACACCTGGTTGTACTGACGCCATAGCCGCTGTCTCATTAAATCTGTGTTCTCTAGACTCTGGTGTGTGTGGTGAATTGGGGACAAGACAGGATTTATTGACATGCAGACCAACTGCAGCCTTCCCCATCCAGTGGGGCCAAAGGTGATTCGGTTTGGGGAGTTTGTGATGAGTGTCAGAGGGCTGAGTGTACGGAGTCCCCTCAGCTCCGTGTCTATGAAAGATGAAAACACATAACTTGGGGTTGTTCAGGCTCTAGGAAGCATCGAGCACTGAGCCTGGCGTGCAGAGGATGTTTGGTAAGTAGAAACTGTGTCTTCTGGAGTCCTCATGGTTGAGGGATTATCTCATAACCCAGTGGAATCAGCGGGAAACTGGCTGATCATGCAAGTCACATGTCCAGCTCCTGGCAATCTCTTTCACAAGCTAGACCCACAGAAGGGCCCTCACTGCAACTCAGGACCATTCCCATTGCCCTGGGCTTCAGGAGAACCCTAACTGCCCCTCTCCCAAATTACATTCAAGCCTCTGTATATGTACATTCTTTTCAGAGAGATGATCTACAGTTTTGACCAGGATCTCAAAGGGGCCATGACCCAGCGAATATAAGGAATCTTCTGATAAGGCTGTAACCCTAACCCTAAAGAAACCAGAGAGCTCTATGGGCGCAAGCGGAAGGGAGGGAGGAATGGTGTGGGAGGGCTGTTTGTGGGCCTGGTCTTGGCATATTTGAGCACACACCTCCAACTACAAGTAACTAAAGCTATACTTTGGATACTTGATGTAAGATGAATATGTTTTCTCTCTCTTTTAGGTGATGAAATGGTATTTTCTTTTTACCATTAAATTTTTTTTAATGTTTATTCAGTTTTGAGAGAGAGAGAACATTAGCAGGGGAGGGGTAGAGAGAGAGGGAGATACAGAATCTGAAGCAGGTTCCAGGCTCTGAGCTGTCAGCACAGAGCCTGACATGGGGCTCAAACTCACAAACCGTGAGATCATGACCTCAGCCAAAGTCAGATGCCCAACTGACTGAGCCACCCAGGAGCCCCTCTTTTATCATTTATATATTGGCAAACTTACATATACAGAACCATTGCAAAAACATTCCCATTTACCTATCTCCTGGATTCCCTAATTTTTTTTTTTTTTGGCATTTATTTATTTTTAAGAGAGAGAGACAGAGCACCAGCAGAGGAGGGGCAAAGAGAGAGGAGACGGAATTTGAAGCAGGCTCCAGGCTCCAAGCTGTCAGCACAGAGCCAGATGCGTGGCTTCAACCCATGAACCGCAAGATCATGACCTGAGCTGAAGTAGGACACTCAACCGACTGAGCCACCCAGGCACCCCTGGAGTCCCTAAATATTAACATTTACCTCATTTAATGTATTCTTTCTGTGCACGTGCACATTTCTTTTTCTGAACCATTTGGCAGGGAGTTTCAGAGATGATGCTCCTTTGCCTCTAAATACATGCGTCTTCCTGCCAAACAAGGACGTTACAAGGCCACAGTGCACTTATCACTGGGAAATTAACATGGACACATCACAGAACCTACAACAAAACTTATTTAGATTTCGCCATTCAGCTGCTATGTCTGTTTAGTCTTCTCTAATCTGGAAAGGTGCGTGATGGACCCCTTTAAGAAGCGCAAGGTAACTGGGGCGCCCGGGTGGCTAAGTCGGTTAAGTGTCTGACCCTCAGTTTCCGCTCAGGTCATAATCTCACAGTTTTGTGGGTTCGAGCCCTGTGTCGAGTATGGAGCCTGCTTGGGATTCTCTCTGTCTCTCTCTGCCTCTCCCCCACTTGTGCTGTCTCAGTCTCTCTCAAAATAAATAAACTTAAAAAAAAAAAAAAAGCACAAGTTAATAATTTTGAAGACTATCCTTCAATGCGGGTTTTCCTGATAGGATTCAGGCTTCGCACGTGGGGTGAGAATTCCCCAGAAGTGACGCTTTGATCTACTTGTCTCCTGCGTCCTTTTGACATGTTTCTGTCATTCTTTAGGAACCGCTTACTTTCTAGCGTAATAAGGTGTTCTTGGTTTTTCTTGCACTTTCCCACTCCTAGCCCTGAAACCAGCCATTTCCTCAAGGAGCCCCAATAGCTGTTAGTGGACAGTGGTAATTCAGTAAACAAGATGTGGTCGTCGGGTGTGCTCAGTCCTACTGGGCTGTCACTGCTTCTAGGTCCTTTTACCAGACAGGAAATAGTAGCCCTTCATCGACATCTAGTCCTCCATAAACATATTAAAAACATGAGTTCACACTGATACTCCCAATTTCAAAGTAATGCCACAAGATTCTTTCCCCTTTTTAATATTTGTGATTCCCTTCCTTGACAGAAACCTGGCTCTGTTATCTATAATTATTTATTTGCTCAATCCTAGAACACACAGAGAGTACCTTCAGCATTGCCAACCTATGCCTCTGTGAAAAAGAAGCCTAGAGCTTAATATTTTTTTTGAGTTCCTTTTTGTATTTAGTTGAGGGAATACAGTCAAAACACAGCATTCAAAATTCACTTGGGTGTTTCTCCCCTTTCACTGTGCATATGTAATTCATGAGAAATATGGTTCCATTCATGTACTCCGTTTTATTTCCCTATTTTAATTTTTTTAAATTGGCTTCACACCTAGTGCAAAGCCCAACATGGGGCTTGAACTCACGACCTTGAGATCAAGAGTCAGAAGTTTAAGCAACGGAGAGCCACCCGGGGGCCTCTTATTTGCCTATTTTATTGTTGTGATATATTAACATGGTTCCTAAAGTCAGAACTTCACAAGAGGCCACGGTGCTTGGCTGGTTCAACAGAGACTTGCCTGTCTCTCTCTCTCAAAAATAAACATTAAAAAAAAATTTTTTTAAAGGCACCTTAAAAAATAAAAACCTTTATAAAAGGTTCGTCAAATATCTTTCTCCCCCGTTCTTTGCTTCTTTCCACCCCTTCCCATCAGGTAACCAAGATGTTTGGTCTCTGGCTTCTCCTTTCTGGGTTTCTTTTTGCAAAAAATGAGTATGATACATGTCTATTTTCTTATTTCGTTTACCCCTTTTTTTTAAATAATTTTTTTAACATTTATTCATTTTTGAGAGATGGAGACAGAGCATGAGTGGGGGAGGGGCAGAGAGAGGGAGACACAGCAGCTGAAGCAGCTGTCAGCACGAAACCCGACTCAAGGCTTGAACCCATGAACCGCGAGATCATGACCTGAGCTGAAGTTGGACGTTTAACCAACTGAGCCACCCAGGCGCGCCCCACCCCCCACCTTTTTTTTTTTTTAAAGTTTGTTTTTTGAGAGAGAGAGAGCGTGTGAATGGTGGAGGAGCAGAGAGAGAGGGAGAGAGAAGAGAGAATCCCTAGCAGGCTCTGCACTGCAGCACAGAGCCTGATGTGGAGACTGAAGCCATGACCTGTGAGATCATGACCTGAGCCCTGAAGTCAAGAGCCCGATGCTCAACCCACTGAGCCACCCAGGAGCCCCTCCCCCTTCTTTCTTCCACAAAAATGATAGCATACTGTTTTTTTTGCACGTTGCTTTTTTCAAATAATAGTATACCCTGGAAACCATTCTCTATCAGTCCAGAGTTCTTCCTCCTTTATTACTGTTATCATCATTTACATCTAGATTATATCCCATTGTATGTAATAACCATTTCATATTTGACCATTCTTCTATATACGAATATTCAGGCTGTCTCCTCACTTTTGCAGTAACAAACAAGGATGCAACAAGTAATCTGTGCACATGTATTTTCTTTTGTTGGAGGTGTATCTTCAGAGTATACTCCTGAAAGTGGGATTGTTAAATCAAAAGAAATGTATTTTTTATGAGTGTCTGATGTCCCTCCATATTCGTTGTAGCAATCTGCATTCCCATCAGCAAGGTAGGAGGTCCCTGTTAGCCCAGAACATCACCAACAGAGTGTGTGGCCATACTTTTTGATTATCTGTCAATCTAATTAGTGAGACACAGTATCTGTGTAGCTTTAATTTGCATTTCTCTAATCATGAATGAGGTTGAACTTTTTTTGTTTCAAGACCTAAGTTATTTATTTATGAATTATATCCTTTGTCCACTTTTCTATTGGATTTCTGGTATTTTTTCCTCCTCAATCCTAAGAGTTCTCCATATAGCAGGGATTAGCCCATTGTCTGTGAGATGTTGCAAATATTTTCTTCCAGTTTATCAGCTGCTTTTGACTTTGTAGTGTTTCTCCCATGGAAAAGCTCTTTTGTTACATTTTTATACAGTCAAATTAACTTTTCTTATTTCATCTGGATCTTAAGTCATGGAAAATTTCCCAGCACCCAGGTCAAAGAGGCATTCATCTATGTGTTTTTGTAGTACTCGTATGGTTTCAATTTTTATTTTTGGATCCACGATCTGTTTATTTAGTCTTGTGTATGCCGTGAGGCAGGGATCTAATTTTATCTTTTTCCAAATGATTAACCAGTTGTCCCCCACCATTAAAAAAAAAATCGGGGCTTCCAAACTTATTCCACAGGTCTGACTACTGCACTGACTTACTCACTGAAGTTTTATAGTTTGCTTTAATGTCTTAGAAGAGCTAGTCTCCTCCTTGCAGTTTTCGCTCTCTTTTTTAAAGTTATTCATTTTGAAAAAAAAAAAAAAGAAAAAAAAAGAAAAAAAAAGTTATTCATTTTGAGAGAGAGCATGCACACAAGCAGGGGAGGGGCAGAGACAGACAGAGGGAGAGAAAGAATCCCTAGCAGGCTCTGTGCTGTCAGTGTGGATCCCAACGTGGGGCTTGATCTCACAAACTGTGAGATCGTGACCTGAGCCAAAATCCAGAGTCAGATGCTTAATAGACTGAGTCACCCAGGCACCCTGCAGTTTTCTCTTTTTGAAGCAGCATTTTCCTGGGTATTCTTGCATGTGATTATTCTAAAGCACATATTTAAGTGAAATTTTAATGACAAAATTTGGTACTCTCAGGTGTCAAAATGAAAATACCAGAAACAAGAGTTTCCAAAGATGTAAAGCATCTGGAAGTAGAGAGGCGTGGCTGGATCTCATCCGCTGAGGTCATCTTGTTGCTTCTGGCTTTATTTTGATTAACGTTTGGTCGCACACACTGAAAAACGACCTAAGATAGTTGCTTTGAGCGCCGCTTTTTCTCATTGTACAATTCCCTGTAGCAGTTGATCGCATCATTGATTGCTCCCGAAACTTTCAGTTTCCAATCATCATTAGGGCCATCACTTGTAAGGACCTGTAGGCCTGCCTCGAAATGTGAGAAGGCTGCTGAGAGTCTTCCTGTGGTTAGCTGACGCAGGGCAGGTGGGGCATCTTCACTCTCCTCTTCCGCAGGCTCCTGTTCTAGCTGCATCAGTTCCGTGTTCGAGAGATCCTCCTCGTGGGACCTCAGCAACTGGTCCACGTCGGCTTCTACAACCTCTTCGAAAGCCACATTCTTGGCAAGAGTCACAATGTTTTGTTGAAGTTGTGCAATGTTATCTGTTTGGGAAACGCTCTGGAACCGAACACACTCAGGCCAGATCTTCTTCCACACGCTGTTCATTGTTGCCGGTCTCAGCGCCTCCCAAGCTAGTGCAATGTTGTCTACAGCATCCATGATGCTGTAGTTTCTCCAGAACTCCCTGATCATGGCTGTATCCTCCCCATCTGTTGCTTCTAGGATGTGCTCAAAAGTTCTTCTCACGTAATGAGCTTTAAAGGCGGAGGCTATGCCTTGACCCATGGGCTGGATGGAGTCAGCTGTACTGTCATGAAGATATTCCACTCTTACATTATCAGACAGATCACTCAAATTTACTGGGTGGCATGGGGCATTGTCTAGGATGAGCAACGCTTTGTGGGTGAGATTATTCTGGGCACAGTATCTTTCAACGGCTGGGCAAAAAAAGTATGTGAACCATTCCTGAAAGATGCTCCTGGTCGCCCAGGCCTTTTTGTTTGAGCGCCAAATTACAGGCAAATTGGGCTTGGAGTATCCTTTCAGAGCCTTGGGGTTTTCCAAGTGGTACACCAATAGGGGCTTCAACTTAAAGTCCCCAGCTGCATTGCCACCAAGAAGCAGCATCAAGCGATCTCTGGATGATTTAAAGCCTGGCTCGGCTTTCTCTTCCACAGAAATAAACGTTCCTTCAGGCATTCTCTTCCAATAAAGCCCCGTCTCATCTACGTTAAAAACCTGCTGGGGGGTATACTCACCTTCTTCAATGATGCTTCTTAGCGCTTCTGGATATATGTCCTTGTTTCCAGGAGCCGTGCTGTTTATCTTGAAGTGGGGCAAACAGTGGCGCTCCTTGAATCTCACAAACCACCCTTTACTTGCAGTAAACTTTTCTGTTTGAGAGCTCGCACCTCTTTCACGCTGTAAGTCATCAAACAAACTCTTAGCCTTCTCCTGAATAATTGTGACACTCAGGGGCACGTTTCGCTGGCTCTGGTCTTCAAGCCACACATGCAGCAGGCGCTCCATGGTCTCCATGACTGCACTTCGATGCCGAGTCAACCGGGAGGCTCTCAAAGGAGTAGCTATTTGCGAATTCGCTTTAATTTTTTCCTTATTATCTCGGATTGTAGCCACTGTAGAAACAGCAAGGCCCAAGGCCTTCGCAATTTGGCTGAGCTTTTCACCAACTTCAAATCGTCTCAACACTTCCAATTTTATGTCGAGGGTAATTGCTTTCCGTTCCCTTTTGGCACTTGGGATGGCCGATGCATTTAGGGACCTTTTCCCAGGCATTTTCCCTTCCAGAACGTAGTAAAACCACAGCCGTCTCGGGAGCAAGAAGGCCCGTGGCTATTCTCTGCTCCCTTGCAAAACGTGGGAGAGAAAATGGGGCTGCCAAGAAGTGCAGGCGGATGAGAAAAAGGTCACCAAAGGCCTGCCCGGCCCCCTTTGCCAGAAACAGGCTGGTTCACTCTCGATTGGCAGGCAGGCAGCGTAGGCCTCTGGTGTCAATCAGAGTGTCCAATCCCCAGACAGCACATCTGCAGGAACGTTAAAACCGGCGTGGGTTTCTGGGATCCAGAAAACCGAAAAAAATCCGTGCAAGTTAATAACGCTGCATAGCACACACCGAGTCAGTGCCTCCGTTCTAGAGGGACATCGAAGCAGCAGGTAGCCGGGTAGCGGGCTCACGAGAGGCGCCGGTAGCAGCGGCCGGGGGTGGGGGTGGGGGTGGGGGGCGGACCAGGGTCTGGTGTTGTCTTTTGTGAACCGCTTCCTGTGGAGGACCCGGGAAATATGTGTCCTTGGAGATGCCCGACTTAAAATAAGTCTAAAGGCGCTGGGTATCCTCATAGCATCTAGCCCGAGTCGGTCGCTGGGATTTCTACGCTCCGCTGTGTGGACAGGACCCGACAGCGCTCACGTTCAGATCTTTAAAAAGTCAGGTGGTAGGGTAGACAGCTGACGAGAGGTCCCCAGCCGGCGCCTCGTCCTTACCGCGCATGAGCGACGCCTCCAGCGCCCGCGGGGACGGCTCCGGGGGTGTGGCGCCTCGCTGGCTTTGTTGCTGTTCTGCGCGTGCGCGCGCCCCAGCGGCGCCAGGGCGGGGGCGGGGAGTGTCGCGCCCGCTCCGGGCGGCGGCCGAGCGGTCTGGGCCGTGCGGCGGTGGCCCAGGAGGCGGCGGGACGGTCAGGGCAGGCGTGAGAGCCCTGGGAACAGCCCGGCAGGTGAGCGGGGAGGTTCTGCCCGCAGGTGTCGGGAGGCGGGGGCGCGGGCTCCGCTCGACGCCTTGGTGACGCCGCCCGGTTGCGCCGGCTGTCGCGGGGTAGGGGTCCGGGGGAACGGACTGGAGGGGCCTGGCTGCGGCCACCACCACATCCCCAGCCGGCGGCTCTGTCCCCGCGGCTGAGGTGGCCGTCCCTTGCCCTCCGCGTCCCTGCCCTTCTCCTCGCGGCTTCTTGCCGCCTTCTGAATTTCCCGCCGCCTCCCGGGCCCTGCGCAGTGCTGGCTCCCTCCTCTGCCGCCTCAGTCCCCTCTCCAAAGAGCCCCCACGTGGAGCGATTTGCGTTCGAGTCGCGAGTCCCTGCAAACCTACAGCATCTCCTCGGGCACCTCGCTTCGACTGCGAGCCCGTTTCCTCCTGGGCCTGGAGGTAATGCTTGCTGTAGCCCAGAGTTGCTCTCTGAGCCGGATGTGATACTGCACGTGGAAGAGTTTTGCCGGCTGTTAGTGTTTCTCACGTGTGGAGCCCGGTTTCACCACTCTCATAGCAGCTAGTACTGCTTCCAGCCTTCCGTGCTAAGGGCTTTACACGAACCCTCTCATTTGAGTCCTAAACCCTTCCTGCACGAAAGCGCTGCCATAACCCTCTTTATAGAAGAGAAAACGTAAAAGCAAAACTGGCCACTTGCCGTTCAGGGCCATCTCGCTCCAGTGCCTTCACTTTTCGGTATTTCTGGGTTGTGTGCCTTTCCTCTGGTTAAATACTATCAAATGGGATTCCGTGTTTTGTTTTTTTTTTTTAATGTTTTTTTTTAAATTCAGTTTTGAGAGACAGAGTGTGAGCAGGGGAGGGGCAGAGAGAGAGAGACGGAGACACAGAATCCGAAGCAGGCTCCAGGCTCCGAGCTGTCAGCATACAGCCTGGCTGGGGGCTCAAACCCAGGAACTGCAAGGTCATTACCTGAGCTGAAGTCGGAAGCTTAACCGACTGAGCCGCCCAGGCGCCCCCTAGGATTCCGTATTTTAAGGTTCTGTTTCTGTATTGGTTGATAACATCCCAGGGTGCAGTGATCACATTGGCTTAATTTTTTCTCCTGCACAAATGTGAGGTTTCTGATTTTTGGTCCAAGAAAGGCATCTTGGTTTCCAGACAGTAGTGAAGGAGGAAGAAGGACTCCGTGGATTTATCTCCCGTCTTGTCTTCAGGAATGAGCTTTTCCCTCCCATCCCTATTCATTTTGGAGATGGTACAAGTGAGCTCCGTTTCTGGAACTATCGATGAAAGCAGAGCCTTTCGCCTGGGACGTTTCAGCATTGCAGAGGCTGTTCTGGTTGTTAACACGTGGTGGAAGTCAGTAATTGACACAGCTGTGTCCTGAGTCACTGAACCTCCGTGGCCTCAGTGGTTTCCGTTACGAAGGAAGTTGGATGATCTTTGAGGGTTTTTTTCCCCCAGACTGAGTTGTTCATCTGTTGAGAGTCAAGAAGTGAACACAGGCAAGGGCTCTGTCCCTCGGCTGCTCTCCTTGGATTTGTAGACTGGGGGGGGGGGGGCTGCCAAAGCTGGAGAGGCGTCACAGTGTAGTCAGAAGTACCCTATCAGTTAACACTCATCAAGGGAGGCTTATGTTCTGGAGGCTTCCGTGCAGTTATTTTCTCATTCAGTGATCTTGCCGCACCATCCCGGCTGTGCAAGGAGGAGAACGAGACAAGCAGAACAAGGGAAGTAGAAAAGGAAGAGAAGGGAATGGAGAGGCATAAATGCCGTATCAGTGTGGGTGGGATAGTTGAGTGCTGAAGGAAGTGAGCTCCCAGCAGATTGAAGAGCCACTGCCTGGCGGGCTTGTGTCTGCGTGAGTCTGAGACACCAGGGTAACCTGGCTGATGATCTGACGGGGAAAAAAGGGCAGTGGCACTTTGCCTGTTGAAGGGTCTTACTGTGCCCAGCCCCACGTCTTGGCATTGCGTATGCTCATCACAGCCAAACACCAGTAACAGACTGTGTCTCTGAGAACTGCCTCTGACCTAACGTGGTTCCCTAACCCATGTCAGAAGAAGATTAAGTCATGAACTGAAATAAAGGAATTGGGACTTTTATCAAGTTTTGGAGGCCTGAAGCACAGTACTTAGCGCCTCTAGGGCTGTAGGCCACCAGCCCTGCTCTGTTTGGCGTGGAGCTGCAGAAACCCTGGGAGGCTTGGTTTCCCCTCATACGCCTCCGGCTCCCAGTTGCCTTCAGGCACTCACTTACCTCTCTAAACTTTTCCACCTCTGCAGGGGGCGCGGTCACACCTACTTTTTTAGGGCGGATGGTGAGGATTGGAGGAGGTGACAGAGGAGCACCCACCCAGCAGGTGCACCACCTTCTGTGCTCCTTTGTCTAAATTTCCTGTTGCAGTAAAATGCCTTTGTGATGTCTTCATGGTCTCATGATTCCTCCACATCAGGCCCTGGTCCTTTCGTGCGGGCTGAATCCCTGCAGCAGGCGGCTTCATTCACGGTGTGGAAGTTCTCGTAGCCTCATCACCCTTCCTGGTGCATCTCCTTGCTGAGCTTCCCCGTTTGGGTTTCTCCCTGGTTTTAATATCTTTCTTATAGCTTACCTTACTTGTGAGTCCACTTTGGCTTTTGATAGGGATGTTTCAATAATTTGGCTTATTAGCAAGTTAATAACCATTGACAATTTACCCTGGGGAATGGCCTGCCTCATCATGAGGGACAGCATGGTTGAAATAACACGGGTGTTGTCACCTGTATATCTATTTTCATTATAATAGAATATTGGGGATGATCCAAATCTTTGCTTATGTTGGTTTTTTTTTTTGTTTTGTTAATATAATCAATATTGGGTTCTTGACTGTACTTAGAATTTGTTGTCTTAATATGGTGGCTTTTCTTGAGCTTATTTTTGTTCTAATGGCTTTTGACATATAATAGTGAAAAATCTAAGTCGTCTTTGGTCTTGTCCTTAACTGGTGTTAAATACTGTTAGCTTATGGTGAAAACTGGCATTTTCTTCTTTGAGGACTGAAGAAAATACAGGATCTGGAAGAGTACTTGCTTTCTTTGGCCTGACAAAAATACTAATCCTTGGTTGATCGAAGATAAATTATAGTATCCTTTGCTTTTAAAATTTTATGTGGCTTAATCTTAGAATCATGTTTGTTTTTGAGGCCGTAATAGTTTCAGTGGCCCAAATTGTCTCAGGCAAGAAATGGTTAGGGAATTGGTGGGGGTGGGAGTGGAGGCATTGACAGCAATAGCTGTGAAAATTCTTCATGTGTTTCTGCAGTGAATTTAGTTCCTGTTTATCCTGTTTGAATCCTATTTTAATGGGACATTTAAGCGGATAAGCAAAGGCAGCAAGCTAGCCCTTTAGCCCACATCCAGGTCCCTTCCCACCTGTAATGCCACCGTGAGAAAATGGCCCATCACATGGCAGAAGGTGTTCATCTTCTCTCACTTTTCACTGCCTCCGGGGGACCTGCTTTCAGCAGCTGGCTCTTCGGGGAAGACAGACGTCATTTTCTTAGTGGCTGTGTTCAAAACCACCCAAAGGTACCCATCTTTCTTCTCCCATCATTAGCATAACGTTACGAGAACCAAGTGAGGCTTCCTCAGTGTCTCCCCTGTAGTGGGGGAACCAGGGGACAAGGGTGTGTGTTGACTCAGGATGCCCTGTGCCTCCTCCCTTTTCTAGTTTCCATATTGAGCCTTACTTCAGTCTTCCCGTTTCTGGGCCACTGCAGCCTGTCTTTATGGTTTTGATAGGACAGTGAAAGAGAAACTCTCATAAGAAAGTTTCTAGGCGAATCTTTTGGGATGCATGAGAACAAACCTTTGTTTCTACATATCTGAGTGACTCAGGCTGAGCCTCATGTTTGGGAAGCACAACAGAGATGATGTGCAGACTGCAGTTAGCTTGGAGCATATCTGCCTCTCACAGTGGACTGTAGGACTGTGCTCAGTGTCCCCTTGGACACCCTGTATGTGAGGCTTGTAGGTGCATGTTGATCGCATCAAGCAAGGAGGTAGAAAACTGGTTTCTCTCGTACTCTCTTTCCTCGTCTTACAGGATGGTTGCTTATGTGAGTGTGGTCTGTGCTTTTAAAGTACCAGAACCTCATCATTTTGTCCCTAAGGGTTTGAGGAATTCTTTAGAAGAAACAGAGACTTAGAAAAAGCAGCAACTCCAAGAAAAGGTACAAGGGTCAATTTGACATTTTAATGGACCGAGCCACCCAGGTGTCCATCAATTTAATGTTGTTTTTTTTTTTTAATTTTTTTTTTTAACGTTTATTCATTTTTGAGACAGAGAGAGACAGAGCATGAACGGGGGAGGGTCAGAGAGAGGGAGACACAGAATCTGAAACAGGCTCCAGGCTCTGAGCGGTCAGCACAGAGCCCGACACGGGGCTCAAACTCACGGACTGTGAGATCGTGACCTGAGCCGAAGTCTGATGCTTAACCGACTGAGCCACCCAGGCGCCCCTCAATTTAATGTTTTAAAACTGTGAGAGTTTTGCATTTTTAAGGCCTTCGCTACTTCCGGGGTTAGTCTCCTTGGGAGGTGACAAGCAGGCGGCCCGTGCACGTGTGGTGTTGGCGTTCTCTCTCCTTTGCTTGTCGTGCGCATCGCTTCCAAGTCACCCCCTTCCTTATTCAGATCCAAAGCCTCACAGTTTGGTGATGTGGATTGGTGAAGTGGGTATTTATCAGGTGTGGTTCTCCTGTGGAACGTCTTCTGCTCAGTTACCTGTAAGTGAGGAATAGGAGGAGGCCCACAGAAGCATGTTGGGAGGTGTGTTTACATGCTTTACAAATATAGCAGTTGGTTTTTTGCAGCGTTATCGTTTATGCAAATTTTTACTCTATCCTGTAATATGTTTGTCTGTTTCTGGGTCACCTAGGCCTTGGGCCTCCATGGCTTTGATTTGGGGTTATTGGAGTGGCGTGCATGTGACGGGGCAGGACTGTGGCTTTGTTTGTCCTGCGACTTTTTGGGCTTCTTGCTTAGGCCCTTCCATTTGCTGTTGCCTGGCTGTGGAGAAACATGGCCATGGATGGATCGCTGCCTTAGAAGCCTCTGTGAGACCACCTTTCCCTTACTCAGGGGAACGATTGTTTTCCTAAGTTTTGGGTTAGTTTCCCAGGTTCTTAGGAACACGTGCATTCTTGTGTGGCACCTCTGCAACTTCATTTCTGGTCACAAATGTGTGGGCGGGTGGTGGGGGGGTGGTTTCCCCACCAAGCAGTTCTGGGACACCAGCTGGGTGTCCTGCAGTTTAACCCACTTCTGACACCGTGTACCTGGAATTAGCACCAGATTCCACAGGTTCAGGGCTCCGTCCTGAAAGACTGCCTCCGCCTCCCACTCCCTGCCTTCAGATGCTGTTCCACTTCCAGATTGTCACCTGTGCTTCTGACTGACTGGCTGTAAATCAGGTTTCCATGACCCCCTCTCCTTGGGTTCATTTAATTTGCTAGAGCTGCTCACAAACTCGGGAAACCAATGTACTTACTAGATTACCAGTAGTTCATTACTGGATGAATGAGGATGTTAAAGGATATGAATGAACAGCTAGATGAAGAAATATGTAGGGCAAGGTCGGGTGGATTCCCTGGTGTAGGAGCTTTCTGTCCCCTTGGGGTTTAGCACAGAATGTGGGTACTTTCTTGTCTACCAATCTAAAAGCTCTCCAAACCCTGCCCTTTTGGGTTTATATGGAGGCTTTGTTGCATAGGCATGTGATTGATTGAATCATTGGCTGCTGTGATTAATTCGACTTCCAGCTCTTCTCCCCTCCCCTCCCCCCTTCTCCCCCAGAGTCAGGGGTGGGGCTGAAAGTTCTAACCTTCTAATCACTTGGTTGCTTCTCCTAGGAACCTGCCTCCATCCTTAAGGGTTTTCCAAAAGTCACATCATTGACACAAACTCAAGTGTGGTTGAAAGAGGCTGGTTATGAATAACGAAAGACACCTTTACCACCTAGGAAATTCCAAGGGTTGTTAAAGCTCTGTACCAGGAGGACCAAATGTATACTTCTTATAAATCGAGTATCATACAGGTCAAACAAAGCTAAATGCCTGGCAGACACCGTGATAACAATTATTCGTTTTTGTTTCTCCCCCTTGTCTTTTTGTGTGTGCTAAAGCACCTCTTGGAAATTTTAACTGGAAATTGTACTTGATGGAGTTACATGGGGAGGGGAGAGTGTTTCTTTGGGTGTGCCTAGCTTTCTAGGACCGTTCAAGCCTCCTGATCCTCAGAGTGTACTTGGAGGAACCCTAGGTGGGCATGTCCTGAATCAGAGCCATCTCTCCCAACGCATACTTTGCACCCGACAGAATGGTGGGACAGGGGTGCTTATGGGGCTGGATTTGTGTACTCTGAACTGCTTTGTATTTTACGTGTGTGTTGCAGGAAGAGGCTTGCAAGGCTGGATTCAGTCATCTAGTTTGTGGGTCACAGTGTTCTGAGAAGGGGTATCATGCCCAAAGTGCCAGCTGTTTAACAGTAATGCCCCCTGGATCGTGCCTGGTATGTATGTTCCATTCACCGGTGATTACCTGGAGATTTTAAGAAATTGTTTTAAATTTCCATCTTGTCTGGAAATGTCTGGGTTTGGTATGGTCTAGTAGTCTTTTCCACTCTAACCTGTGTCCTGAACTGGGAGGGGCACAGCAGGCTTTTCTCCTACACTTCTGGACAAAATACTTATGTTTCAGCTCTGCTCAGCCTCTTCCTGTCCTGCTCCCTGTTTACCTCCAGAAGGTACCAGTGTTAGGAAGATTGTATGTTAGAAGGCATTTTTTTGTTCTCTGAAGCCTCTTTCTCTAGGAAGTTGTAATTATTGTTACCTGGTGTCAGATTCTGTTTTCTCTTAGGAACTGGTGAGCCAAAGGATGTTGGGGCTGGAACAGAGGAGGCAGGAGAAAAGGAAAGCAGGGTGACTTTGCCTGGTGGAGCCGGCTGCAGAAGGTGTGTGTGCATCCGAGGACTAGACCCCACGCGGCCCATCACGCACCCAGGGGGCCGGTCACGCTCATAGACCCCACGCGGCCCATCAGGTACCCATGGGGCCGGTCACTGCTGTGCTTGGGCTTTGTGCAGTCTCTCTGCTTGTTCTTGGAGCAAGCTGATTCAAAGATTCTGAGAAACAAACTTAAAATTATGACAACGTGGAGATTTCCATCTGAATTTTAAAAGACCCAGATAAGAGATAACCCCAGAAGTGTTGGCTCTTTGTGGGTCTTCTGCCTCTCCCGGGTGCTTTGCTGAGCTGCTGTGTTTGTTGTGTTTACATGTGCCAAGCGGAGGCCTTTCCTCCCAAGGACCCCGGCTTTGGCTTCACCACGCACACAGCATGGTGGAGTGTGAGGAGGGAGCATTTGATGATGTCTCTCATAATATCTGATAAAAGAAGTCGCTGTTTCATGAAGGAAACCACCCTCGTTTAACCGTAAAATGTGTTCTCTTGTCCCACGGGGGGAGGGAGTGGAGGGGAGTGGGGGGGAGGTGGGGGGGTGGGCATTCCCCTGGGACAAGCAGGGTTTCCATAATCTTGCTGTTTCGGGGGCAGGTGTTGCTGTGGGATTTTTCTACATCTATTTTCGAGATCCTGGGAAGGAAATCACCCGGAAGCTGTTCATGCAGTATTACTTGGTGAGGGGTCTGGTGAGGGCACTTACAGTCTGTCCACCCAGGAAGGAGCTGGTACCTGTGGCGCCGTGCCCACCCCTGTGGTCTGCAAGCTCTGATCCTGAGCATCCCAGCCTTGGGGTATAGACAAGACCAGTTTTACTTTTCCCAGTAGCTCCCTCACTGAACGCTGAATGTCATGCCCACATTCTTGCTGGGTGGAGGTCCCTGTAACATCATGGCCTAACTTCATCATTGACTAGCTTTTGCTCCTGAGACCTCGTTCTGTTTTTCTGTAAACTCCGATCTTCTGTCTGATTGAAAGCTTTTCTCCTAGTGTAGTCCTACCCTGACCCTGAGCAGGATGGGCCAGCACTGTCCACCCCAGGCTTTGTGCTGTGCTCGCAGGGTCCTCCCTGGCTTGTCCTTCTGAGTGCTGAAGTCAGGTGGAGTGCTCCTCCAGCTTAAGTGTAAACTCAGGTAGGAGCGGAGGACTTGCTCCCCCTCTGCCCATCGCCCTAAATAACACACAGTTAAGATCCGGACTTCCATCTGTGTGATGATGTTTGTAGAACACCATTGTTTCTCACCAGGGTCCGTAGCTGAGGCCTTTGTTGTCTGCCCGCACGTCTGTCCTCAGAGAGGCCCTTGCTCCCTGCTGGGTGGGGGCATGGCAGCTGCCTCTCCTCTCTCCCAAGGATCTGCCTCCTGCTGGGGAGGAGGGGTGAGACAGGGGTCCTCCTGTGTCTGCATTCTGGACAGATTCCAGAGTTCCCTCAAGGTCTGGCACCGCTGACAGTGACGTGTTTGTTCTGAGGCACAGCCTAGAGCCCTGAACGGGGACGTGTTCCCTCCCTGGCTCACCTCACTCGGCGCTGCGCTCAGCCCCCGTGGTGCACAGGGGACGGGCAGCCTCTCCCCAGGCTCAGACCAAAAACCTGATCTTCCGCACTCAGAGGAACTTTCAGGTTGGCTGGAAAAGTCCAGCATGTGAGTGCTGCACCGTCTCCCAGCTCCTCCGCAGCTGTCGTGAGATCACCGGCTGACATCTTAGGGTGTCACAGAAGTAAGTAAGCTGAAGCGCAGCCCTCCCTGAGCGCCTCATGCATTTGGGAATAAAAAAAAAAACCACAGTATCCAGAAACTTAAGTAGCAAACTTTGTTGTAAAATAGCTTTGTTATTTCTCCTAACTAAAATTAGGAGGACGTTTCCTTCCAATTTTTAAAATGAGGAGAAAGTATATTTGCAAAAAATGGGAAGTAAATAAGAATATAAAGAAGGGAGTCCCTGGCCTGCTCTGAGCAAGGTTACACAGGGGGCACTGGTCTACACCCTGCCCCTTGGGCTTCACCGTGTTGAGCTGTGTACCCAGGTGGTAGTGTAATTGTGTCAGAGAAAGCAAGACTGGCCAGCCGGGCGGTGATCCAAAAAGTAAGAGATTGAAACATGATGGGGGCTGTAAGGATGTCCCAAGCTCTTGCCTCTTTAACGTGAGAGTCGGTGGAGTCTCTGGGGTCTCTGTTGCAGAAAAGCTGGGGTGTTTGGCTGCTCTGAGGCGTTTCTTTGACAAGCATTAGGCTACACTGTGGAAGCATTGAGCTTTGTGGGGTGGTCATAAGATGCCACGGTTGGGAACACGTCCTCATCACACAACCCTGAGTCTTTATTTACTTTCCAGAAGGAGCATTGTTGTAGTGATCGGAGATGCTGTCGAGAGCAGATGGATGGCAGAAGGAACCAGGGCACACCCCTGAATTGTGTCTTTGAAGAGCTTCCCAGAGGAGCATGTCTGCGTGCAGATGGTTGGGTCCAGAGGCACCAATAGCTTGTGGGCCTTGGGGATTACGTTTTCATTCTCCCTGGCACTGTTTTCTTGTGGTACCTGCAGCTGGGTGGACAGAATGTTCCCGAATCAGCTCTGTATCTTAGGACTGCCCTGTAGTCAGTGTAAGACTGTTGTTTGTGTGCCTTCTGGATTTCCAAGGCAGTGTGGAATCTTAGTGCCTGGATGTACCAAATTTTAACTCCTGTTGCTGAATTGGTTTCTGTTTATTAAAATGGAAATAGGTTCATACCCCAGGCTGGAAGTATTCATGTTAGTAGAAAAACAAAACGGATCTGTTCTGCAGAGCGTAGGCTGAGGTAGAGCCACAGTCTGTGGAGCACGTCCGAGCACAGAAGCACGTGGTTTGCTGCCGAATGCCCTGCTCTGCAGGTCTGGCGTTCTTTCTCCGAGGTGGACCGGCTGGAGGTTGTGAACAGTTTGTGCGTGGCATTCCTGCTCCTGGACGGCATCTGAGGTGAGGGGTAAGTTCAAGGCTGAGTGTTCCTTCGTAGGGTTTTTTTTTTAATGTAGAGTGTAGGGGCACCTGGGTGGCTCAGTTGGTTAAGCATCCGACTCTTTATTTCAGCCCAGGCTATGAACTCATGGGTTCTTGCGTTTGGGCCCCACGTTGGGCTCTGTGATAGTTTGGAGCCTGCTTGGGATTCTCGGTCTCCCTCTCTCTCTGCCCCTCCCCTGGTGCATGCTTTCTCTTTCTCTCTCTCTCCTCCCCCCTCCTCTCTCTTTCAAAAATAAATAAATAAACTTTAAAAAAGAATTGAAAAAGTAAAGTGTAGATTTCTGTGTGTGTGTGTGTGTGTGTGTGTGTGTGTGTGTGTGTGTGTGTGTGTTTTCAAAAACATGCCTCTCTTGGTTTCACTACCCAACAGCGGAGGTTTCAGTTAAGAGGATCTTCACAATTCTGCCCTGGCAAATGCTACTTCCCATGATTAATAACCCGTGTTAAGGGGATCGTTTACCACATTGGTGTGTAGCAATAGCAGTGTTCCAAGTAGAACAGAATCCCCGTGTAGGGCTCTTTTTTAAAATTTTTAAACAATTTTCATTTTTTTTTTCAACGTTTTTTTATTTATTTTTGGGACAGAGAGAGACAGAGCATGAACGGGGGAGGGGCAGAGAGAGAGGGAGACACGGAATCGGAAACAGGCTCCAGGCTCCGAGCCATCAGCCCAGAGCCTGACGCAGGGCTCGAACTCACGGACCGTGAGATCGTGACCTGGCTGAAGTCGGACGCTTAACCGACTGCGCCACCCAGGCGCCCCCAATTTTCATTTATTTTTGAGAGAGAGAGACAGAGAGAGAGAGAGAGAGAGAGAGAGAGAATGTAAGTGGGGGAGGGGCAGAGAGAGAGAGACACACAGAATCCGAAACAGGCTGCAGGCTCTGAGCTGTCAGCACAGAGCCTGACGTGGGCTTTGAACTCCTGAACCATGAGATCATGACCAGAGCCGAAGTCCGATGCTTAACTGACTGAACCACCCAGGCACCCCACACCCGCCTAGCGTAGGACTCTTAACTGTGACTCAGTTTTGTCAAGTAACATGTAAGAACCATGATCTGAGAGCTGGGAGGAGAGAGTGGCACAGGGACACAAAGAAGGGACAGACAGACCTTTGCAGTTGTGGGAGCTTCTTATACCTTCATCCAAGACCCAAAGCCTGTGGTTTTGTGAGGCCAGACCCAGGCTTTGCTGGAGGAGCCCTGGTGGGTGGCTGGAGGGGGAGCCCAAAGCTGCTCTTGAATCTTGGTCTCTGCAGAAGTTTGTATGGTTTAACATCAGCAGTGTTGGCACCTTTGAGCGGAACTTGGAGACTGCTCACTGGGAACTGGGCATTGAACTCCCCCAACCAGACGGCAGTGGTCTATGCCACCGAGAGTGACGGGTGAATGTCGGGCTCCAGTCTGGAGTCTGTGGTTCTGAGTACAGAACAGTTCAGTGTTTGATCAGTTTTGGTGGGGCGCCTGGGTGGTTCAGTCAGTTAAGTGCTCGACTCTTGGTTTCGGCTCAGGTCATGATCTGGCGGTTTGTGGGTTTGAGCCCCTTGTTGGGCTGTGTGCTAACAGTGTGGAGCCTGCTTGGGATCCTCTGTCTCTCTCCTTCTCTGCCCCTCCCCAGCTCACTCTCTCTGTCTCTCTCAAAGTAAATAAATAAAAACTTAAAAAAATTTTTTTTACCAGTTTTGGAGTGTGCTTCCTTTGAGCATATTATAGGCATCTGCTAATTTACTATATATAGTAAAATGAATAAATAAATTCTGTTTTCATGGAGGAAAGAATCAATCGGTGAAATATTTAGGCAGGCAGCCCTTAAGAAATAGTATAATAGGGCTCAACTGTGAGGGGGCTGTGCTGGGTCTGCTGGGGTCCGTCCTCCTCACCCCCAATTTCAGGTGTCTGGGCAGACAGACGTGTGTGGGGTGAGAGGCTCAGGATTGGGGAAGGCTGGATGCTGTGTCCAGGCTCTGACATGTTTTTAAAAGATACTGCTCCCTTGTGTAGCATCAGTCTGCTCTTCACAGCCTTTCTCCCGAGGGAACTGATGAGTGGTTTTCTTGGATCTTCTAGGTTTCCCTTGCAAAGCCTGGTGTCCGCCCTTCTCCTAGTGGGCATCTTCCTCTGTGCTGTGAGGAGGGGGCCCGATGGGGGCTGGGCGTGGCAGGCGAGGACGGGGGCCGCCTCTTCAGTGCTGGGGAGACACGTGCCAGGGTCTTTTTTTTTTTTTTTAATTTTTTTTTTTTCAACGTTTATTTATTTTTGCGACAGAGAGAGACAGAGCATGAACGGGGGAGGGGCAGAGAGAGAGGGAGACACAGAATCGGAAACAGGCTCCAGGCTCTGAGCCATCAGCCCAGAGCCCGACGCGGGGCTCGAACTCACGGACCGCGAGATCGTGACCTGGCTGAAGTCGGACGCTTAACCGACTGCGCCGCCCAGACGCCCCTCAACTTAGTTTTTGAAGAAACAACCTTTTTTTATTCCTGTTTTTTCTTTTAGTTCACACAATGTTAAATTATATAATTAAAATAGAAGTACAGCTTGCATAAACAGGTTTGGGATCAGATACAGCTGCCTTATGGTGAGCCCTTGACCCTGCTCTGGACAGAGGGGTGGGGTTGGTGTGGGTCAGGGTTGTTGTACAGCCATTGTGATTCTGGCTGCTGTGTGTTTCTGCTGGTGCCTCTTTGTGTCATGGACCCTTTGATGGCTTGACAAACTGCGAGTCCTTTTCCCAGAATGATTTGCATCTTAAAGGAAATGGAGTCACAGACCCTTCAGTCATCCCCGGGCTATGTGGACCAGGCTAAGAGCGCCTAGTGTAGACCGCTCTTTGGACACAGACCCTTGTAGGAACCCTTGCTTTCTCCAGCTCCTCCCCGTAGTGTGGCCGCCACTAGACAGTTTGTTCTGAGCAACAGCAACAGGTGACAGACCGCTGTGAGCCTGGGGACTAGAGGGTAGGAGGTGCTTTCCTGTCTTACAGGCTGGGGAGTGTTTGCTGGAAAGCGTGTGTGCGCGACAGAGGTGCAGCTCGCCCTGGTGCTCCCTACTGGAGATTTGCCAGCACCCGGCCCAGCTGCTGGTCCCCTCGGCTTTGTGGTTGGGTGCCGCAGGGGGTGCCTCTCTTTGCTTCTTAGGATGTCCAGCTGCTTGTATGTACTTGCAAAGTGGGTGTGATAAGCGGTGTGGCGGTCAGGTCACCAAGAAGGGCCTCTCACCTGGAGTGCGACCCTCCAGCAGCGTGTGGGCTCGAGGGAGGCGTCTCTGTCATTCTGTGTGGTGCCGAGGGCATCGGGGCCCCCATGGGTGTGGGCTCCTCCTGGGCGTAAAGACCTACAGTGGATGTGGACACATGTACCCTGGGCTCTCAGTTGTGCGTGTGGTCACACGACTGGCAGAGATGGATTCATGGCGCGCCGTGACCTTAACCCACATTCACGGGAACATGGGGTCCAGCACCATGTTGTGGATCTGAGTTTTGTGACTCCTTCTCCCTACCTTTTCGTGAGTACTTGTTGTTGTTTTTAAAGACTCAAGGAGAAAACACTGTATGGTCTCCGCTGAGGTAACTAGATGCTAACCCACACCCTTGACTGGAAATGGGGCAGTAGAAATTCCCTGCTTTGAATTTCTTTTCAATTTTCAGGTGTGATGGTAATCCATAAAACGGACACCGAGGTGTGTTACCAGAGTGTGAATTGGTGTCACTGTTTCGTAGAGCAGTTTGACGGCACCTGTCAGACATTCAGACCCTTTGACCCAGCAAGCCCTGCCCTCGGGAGCTCTTGTGAAGACACGGCCTGCTTAGGTGGATGGGCTTTCGTGTGTCTGTGGTGTTTGAACTTTTATGGTGAACGTGGTTTAATTTTCTAAGAAAATATTAGAAGGAGAACCTCGGACTAGAAGAACGGTGCATCCTCTCATGGGATTCTTGTTAGTGACGCCTGGAAGTCACCTGTTTAAATCAGAAACGGGCCTGTCTTTGGGTCCCATCTGTCCCCTTTAAGAGCCCGGCATCACCTTTCTGTTTCAGGGAGCCATGGCCACTGGTCTCCTGGCACTGGAGCTGCGTCTTGCCACGGCCACTGCGGGGAAGGCCAGTGTGCCTTTCGTCACCGTGCATGGGTCAGGGTTCCTGGAAACATTTGTCGGCATTGGGCCAGCAAGGGTAGGTGGGCGCTTGTCCTTGAGTCACACGGCCCCGGTCTTTGTGTGGACCCGGCAGTGAGCACAGAGCACGCCGCAGATTGAGATAAGGGTTGGGTTCCGGAGAAGACAAGAAGAGACTTGGGTTAACAGACACTCACTTTTGTTTTCATACCAGGAGCAAAATAGACTCTGTGTGTGGATTCCTACTTGAGGTTCGTGACATGTTTGCAGTGGCCCAAAGAAACGCTCCTTGTGTCTTCTTCATTGATGATATTGATGCATTTGGCAGGAAACGAGGCCGAGGGCATTTCGGAAGCCAGAGTGACCGGGAGAACACACTGAACCAGATGCTTGTGGAGGGATGGATGGTGAGTGCACGCTGCTGACAGCCGCCGAGAGCAGGCCCGTCCTGCCGGCACTGCCACATCTCGCATGACCCTCCTCCGGCTCTTGTTTCTGTCAACTCCCTGGGTGAGTGAGCATCCCTGATGGTTCTGTTTGTAGGAAGGCTGCTCTCAGGCAGGCTTGATGGAGAAAGCTCTGTTAGATCCACAAAAGCCCCCCACTGCCCCCTCCCCACAGCAGGAGGGGTTAGTGGAGATGGGGTGGTGAGATGAGGAGAGGTGAGGCCCTCCTGGGGAGGTGGACCAGGTAGATGAGGGCTCCCCCACCTCTCCTAGTGTAGGCCTTGGTGCCTGCAGGATGGCGTGGTTGGAGCCTTGCTCCTTCCCCTCTGGACCTCTCTCCTGCTGCCCTTCCTGATGCAGAATCTCATGGGTGGGAGCCCACTCCACGTACCAAAATCTCCCTCTTTCTTTCAGTTCAGACTTTTCCTCAAAGTGATTCCAGCTCAGTGTGTCTGGTGGCTTGTCAGGCGTGCCGATATTTCACTGGAAATGTCTACATGGTGAACGTTTTTCAAATTTGGAGATGCTTTCAGTGGTCCCATGGCAAGTTTTCATCTTCATCTTGGGGCTGCCAAGAGTACCCCAGGTTTGGTGATTCACTAGGAGGACTCCTAGGAGCCCATGTGTAGCTGTACCCACGACCACGACTGGTGACAGACACAGAGCAGAATCCGCGCGGGGAAGAGTGTGGTGCAGGGAAGCTGGCTGCAGCTTCCCTCAGGACGTGCAGGAGGCACCGACTTTTCCTGGCATGGAGCTGTGACGACATGTGGGCGTGTAGTTGACCAAGGTTTTCAGTGGGGGCTGGTCCTGTGGCACTCTCTGCCCAGTATGTACCAAAATCCCAGCCTCCCGGGAGGAAGGCAGGTGCGCAGCAAAACCACACTGTACACACAGTTTAGGCCTAGGGAGCCCCTCTTATCAGGGCGCAGTGGAGACCCTCCCCAAATCTCAGGTCCCAGAGCCAGCTGGGGGCCACCTTATAAGCAGAGCTTGAGAGGCTTACTGTGTTAGATTCCTTCTGCCCAGCCAAGACGTTCCAAAACCCTTTGTTATACCTCGTATCCAACCGTGATTCTAACTAGGTTAGTACTCTGTTCTGATGTCTCAAGGGGCTGATGGGAGAGAGCGTTCAGGGGGAAAGAGGGTGGGAACACCACCACTTTCTCTGCTGGCGGCCCCTGTTCTCTGCAGTCCCGCCTTGTGAGCCCTGGGCCTTGTGAGCCCACTAGGGCTGGGTGGATGGAGACCTTGGGAAGTAGCTGGGGCACTGACACCGTGGAGAGTCTCCTTGCTCCCCAGGGGTTGGGGGGTGGCATCGGGTAGTGTCAAGCTGTCAGGAACCAGTGATGAGTCAAGATGGAGGTCCACACGTGGGCCCAGGTCCTGGGGGGTCCCAGTTAGCCGGGGAACGTCTGACTACTCTCTGATGGAGACGCGTCTCAGCCAGAGCAATGGGGTCTGTGAGAACCAGAGCCAGTGGTGTGCTGTTTGTGTCCTGCCCATGAAGGGTCAGAGGGAGGGGCCCCAGAGCCAGCCCCGGGCAGGAGCGTTGGCCCCGCTGAATGGCCTCTGTAGTCCATTTGGAGTGAGCAGAGGAAGAGCAGAGCCAGTGCAGGGCGGCTCAGGGAGGCCAGGGTCCCTAGAGGGATGAGCAGGTGTGCAGAAGAGGACAAGGCGTCAGGACCAGACAGAGGAGGAGAGCTGTCTGGGGATACAGCACTACCCCAGTGGGTGCCAGCCGCACCCTCTCCTCGGGCGCCCTTGCTTCTCATGTCCAGGGTTCACCTCTTTCACGAACGTTGTGGTGGCTGGCACCAACCGCCCTGACCTCCTTGACCCGGCTCTGATGCATCCTGGCCGGTGTGACTGACTGATCTACATCAGCAAGCCTGCCAGTCACATGGCGCTCAGGTTTGGGGCTTCATGCCCTTGTGCTAAAGGTTAGGTTGGTTAGATCATTACCTGTGTATTTGGAGGCGATTTCTTTTCTTTTCTTTTTTTAAAAAAAAAATTTTTTTTTTCCAACGTTTATTTATTTTTGGGAGAGAGAGAGAGACAGAGCATGAATGGGGGAGGGGCAGAGAGAGAGGGAGACACAGAATCGGAAACAGGCTCCAGGCTCCGAGCCATCAGCCCAGAGCCCGATGTGGGGCTCGAACTCATGGACCGCGAGATCGTGACCTGGCTGAAGTCGGACGCTTAACTGACTGCGCCACCCAGGCGCCCCTCTTTTCTTTTTTTTTACTTCTTCCTTTTTAAGTAGGCTCCATGCCCAGTGCAGAGCCGAATGCAAGGGTTGAACTTTTCACCCTGAGAGATCGAGACCAGAGCTGAGGTCAAGAGTTGGGCCGTTAACCGACCGAGCTACCCAGGTGCCCCTGAAGGTGGTTCGTTTGATCAGGGCCCTGCAGTGGTTAATATTAACATTTGGAAAAAGTGGAAGCTCGTGGATGCCCTTGGGTGCTGCTAGTTGCTGTCTCCCGGCAATCCACTTCTGGGAGTGACAGGTGTGGCCGGGCCTGCAGAAACGTCACTTCAGCCCATACAGGTGGGAGTACTGGGACACATCCATGTATTCTGGCGCGGTGTTGTGAAAATGTAGAGGGTAGACAAGAAGAGCTCACCCTCACCTTTTGCTCTGACAACTGACATCACCTCTTCCCTAGCTAGCCCTTTCCATTTGTGAGAGCGCGTCTGTCCCGCGTGGACTTGCCCTGCTGCCCAGGGTGGTCCTCATCTTGCTCACTGTCGGCTCATGGCCCCGGGAATGGATTTGATGTTAGAGGCAGCACAGTCATGAAGGTGTTTTAATGCGTTCAAGAGCTGAGTGTACGAGGGGGCTCGAACTCGCGAACCATGAGATCGTGACCTGAGCCGAAGGCGGACACTTGACCGACTGAGCCACCCGGGTGCCCCTGCCCTGATTAATGATAGTTTTGCTGGATATAGCATTCCTGTTTGACTTTTAAAAATTATTCTTGTCTCACTGCTTTGAATATTTTGTTCCACTGCCTTCATTTTACTATTTCTGATGAGGTGCCAGGCACCAGTCGTCATGTTGCTGTTATCCTCTATGTGATGAATCTTTTCTGTTGCTGCCTAAGGATTTCCTCTTTGTCTTTTGCGTTCAACACTTTAATTGCGATGGGTCTCTTGCAACTTCTGGGTTTCGAATTATAGTTAGAAAAGAATCTCTCCTTATTTTCATATTATGGACACATCTTTATCATGTTTATGACTTTTTTTTTTTACATTTACATCTCTGACCCATTTGTACTTTATTCTGATATGTAGCTTGAGATATTGCATAAATTTGATCTTTCTTCAAATAACTATCCTATCATTGCAACACCATTTTTAAATAGTTCATTACTGACGAAGAAACAGTGAATTATCTTGACTTTACCCACTGAATGGGAGCCTTTCCAAGGACAGAAGGAATTACAGAGAACATTTCAGATTTTCTTTAGTTGTATCACAGATAGTACTATCAACATTGTTATTTTGAAAGTATTTCATGTAGGGGCGCCTGGGTGGCCCAGTCGGTTTAGTCTCCGACTCCTGGTTTCAGCTCAGGTCACGATCTCACAGTTTGTGAGTTTGAGTCCCTTGTCGGGCTCTGTGCTTATAGCACAAAGCCTGCTTGGGATTCTCTTTCCCTCTCTGTCTCCCCGCGCCCCCCCCCCCCCCCCCCCCGGGCGGGGCAAAAAAAAAAAAAAAAAAAAAAAAAAGGAGGTAAGTGTACCTGACCTTTGGGATACTTCATCATTGCTTCCTGACTCCAAATAACTAAGTGTGAAGCAGGGAAGGTGCCTGGAGTCCCAGGCTGTCCTTGTAGATTTTGCAAAGTGGCTACAGGTGACCCTGCTCTGACCGTCTGTGTGTCTCTGTCTTTGTTAGGCCCTGACATCAAAGGCAGATTGTCCATTTTCACAGCCCACCTACACCCACTGAAGCTGGGTGGGAGCCCCTGTAAGGACACTCGCGGCGCTCCCTTTGGGCTGGGTGGGAGCCCCCCATAAGGACTCTCGCGGTGCTCCCTTTGGGCTGTCACGGTGCTCATTCACAGGTGAGTGTTGGCCAGGCCGGGGATGGCCTCAGGTGTTACATGCGCTTGGTAGGTGGTTTCTGGTTGTAGGGTTCAGTGCTGGCATGTGCCCACCTTTGTCTTTGGAACTTTGAATCTGTTGAGAGACATCAAAGGCCTCAGAGATGATTAGCCCCAGAGCTGATTTGTAGCCATCTGAAGTTCTAGTTTAATTCGGTTTCGACTTGGTGAGTTGTTAGTGCAGGGGCCTCCCCAAATGCCCGAGCACAGACCCACAGCAGTGAGGAGCCGTTGCTGCATTATACGGTCTTGGGCGTCAGCTCCCAACCTGGGGGCTCCCCTTGCTTTTCTCTTTTCTTTGTAGTTGAAACCAAGATCCTGTACTAGGAAACTTGTTTCCCCACCAGGGTGGTTTAAGCACTGGGAGTTTAGGGTTTTCCCAGGGGGCTTCCTGCCCAGGTCATCGTCTACTCAGCGGCCCTTTGGAAGCCTAATGATTACTGTGATTACTGTGATGAGCCCTGCCATCCCCGGAACATTCTGCTGTGCAGCCTTGTCCCCTCCCACTGTTGTGCTGCCATCTGCCATCTCCCTGGTGTTCTGCCCAGTGCGGGGTGAGGGCTGGGGTCAGGTCACACATAGGAGTGCACATTTGTTGGCTACAGGATGATGAGTGAGGCGTTCTCATCCAACCAGGCTGGTCTGTTTCCTGCAAAGAATGTGCTCTCTGTTCTTCCTCCTTGTGACTCCCATGTCCACTTATACACCAAAGGTAAGAAACTGGAATAGGCCTCCCAGACTCTCGTCCCAGATATACATTAGAGGCTGCCCAGACTCAGCAGGATGACCTAGGACCTCACCAGCCTCCTGCGGCAGCTGCCTCATCGAACTGCCCTCCTCTATCAGGCTGGTCACGTGGATTCCGCTGTCCCTGAGAGGCAGACCCAGCCTTTGTGAATGTCGACATCGCAGGGACAGAGAATGGTCTCTCTGTCCTCACACACAGAAGGGGACACAAGAATTCTTAGAGGAAAAGAACTGTTGATACATTTTCAAGAGCCACATAAATAAGTGCAAACTATGGCTGTCTGTGGTTCTCATATTGTTGAGCCTTCGTCTCCACGTGCGCCTCAGGCCCCTGTGTGGGAGATCCAGTTTTTTTAAAAACCTGGATGTTCCTGGGGCGCGTGGGGGGCTGTCGGTTGAGCGTCCGACTTCGGCTCAGGTCGTGATCTCACAGCTCGTGAGTTTGAGCCCCACGTCAGGCTCTGTGCTGATGGCTCGGAGCCTGGAGCCTGCTTCGGATCTGTGTCTCCCTCTCTCCTCTGCCCCTAACCCACGCACATTCCGTCTCTGTCTCTCTCAAAAGTAAATAAGCATTAAAAAAATTAAAAAAATAAATAAAACCTGAATGTTCCTTGGGAACCTGACGTGTAAAGTTCTCCTTTAACATTTTTGCTCATTCTTTGCACTATAATGTAGTAACAAAAGTGAATGAGAAAAAAGACATTTTAAAACTTAGCTAATGATTCAACAAAAGATTACAAAGTATGCAAAGAAACAGTAAGTGTGGTTCATTCACAGGAGAAAGAAATGGACAGAAACTGTCCCCAAGGTAGCACAGACATTAGGGTTACTAGAAAAATACTAATGTCACCTGTCTTAAAGTTGCGTGCCTATAGAGCCAAAGGGGACCAGAAGAACTGTATGTCTCAACAAAGAGAATATTAGTAAGAAAACAAATTACAAGAAGTAACCAGATAGAAATTCTGGAGCAGAAAAGTACATGACTGAAATGAAAAGTTCACTAGGGGGCTCAATAGCAGATGTGAGCAGCAGAGGAAAAATATTGGCAAACTTGGAGATAGGCTAATATTACCCAGTCTGAGGGGCAGGAAGAAAAAGGAATGGAAAATGTACAGAACCTAGGACCAGATGGGACACTACCAACATGCATATTATGGCAGTCCCAGAAGGAGAGGACGGAGGAAAAGGGGCAGCGAGAATATCTGAAGACATAATGGGTCAGAACTTTCCAAATTGGATAAAAGACAGGAATCTACGTTCCCAAGATGTTCAGTGAATTTCAAGTAGCGATGAACTCGGAGATCCATCGAGACTCATCATCATCTGTTAAAGCCGAAGAGAGGCTTGGAACCAGCAAGAAAGAAAGGATACAGTGTGCAAAGGATCATCAGTGAGACTTGGTAACGGATTTCTCCTTACACACTCGGGAGGGCAGAAGGCAGTGGGGTGACATGTTCCAGGTACTAAAAGAAAAAACCTGTAACAAAGAATTCTGCATCTGGCAAAACTGCCCTTCAGGAAGGAAGGGGAAATTAAGACGTTCCCAGATACTGAAAAGTTGAAGCAATTCATTGTGTTTAGACGTAGCCTACAGGAAATGCTAGAGAGAGTCTTCAGGCTGAAATGAAAGGGTGCTAGCCAGTCACTTGAAGCCATGTGAAGAAATAACAGTGGTACTGGTAAAGACAAGTGCATAGAACGATAATTACAATTTCTGTGATGGGTATGTAATGTAGAAAGCTGTAATCTGTGACAATAACAAGGTGAAGGTGGAGGGAAGGAGATGTACAGGAGACATTTGTACGGTTATTAAAAGCCAGACATGGAAGAGCTGGTCTTAAAAGTCACGTGGAGGGGCGCCTGGGTGGCTCAGTTGGCTAAGTGTCCAACTCTTGATTTCAGCTCAGGTCTTGGCCTCTGGGTCGTGAGCTCAAGCCCTGCGTTGGGCTCCGCACTGGGTATGGAGCCCACTTAACAAAACCAAAAATGAAACCAAATCCTAAGTAAGTAAATAAGTAAATTCACACGGAGCTGCAAAGTGCCTAAGTAGCCAAAACAGTCTCATGAAAGGAGACCGAGTTGGAGGACTCCTACGTCCCTATTTCAGAACTTGCCACAAAGCTCGGTGAACAAAACACGGCCCTGACAAGGCGGACATACTGACAGAGGAAAACTCACGAGTACAGATGCGGCCTGTACATCTGTGCTTAGTTGATTTCTCTTAAGGTTGTGAAGACCGCTTAATGGGGGAAGGACAGTCTCTTCAAAACAATGTGCTAGGACAATGGGATATGCACATACAAAAGAATGAAATTGGACTTTGGCACCAGATATAAAAGTTAACTCAAAGTGGGTAAAAGACCTGAATTTCAGAGCTAAAACTATAAAAGTCTTAGAAGAAAACATGGAAGACCAGATCTTCATGACTCTGGACTTGGCAGTGGTTCCTTAAATATGATACCAGAAGTACAAGCAACAAGTGGAAAAATAAATCGGACTTAATAAAAATTGAAATCTTTTTTGTGTCAAAGGACATTACTGAGTGAATAAAAAGGCAAGTATAGAGAACACAGGAAAATATTTGGAACTCATGCGTCTGATGAGGGTCTAGAATCCAGAACATAAAACCCAATCTAAGAATGGGCAAAGGGTTAGAAAAGACATTTTTCCAGAGAAGATAGACAACCGAAAACCACATGACAGAATGCTGAGTGTCATGATTTATTAGGCAAATGCAAATCTAATGAGGTAGCATTTCCATGCCGCGGACGGCTGTGAAAGACAGAGTTGGCGTGGATGTAGAGGTACAGGACGTCTAATAGGGCTGCTGATGGGAGCGTAAACTGGGCTGACTGGGATTTGGGAGTCAGTTCGGCTGTTCAGAAAGTAAAGTACGGAGCCCTCATATGACCCAGCAACTCCATGTGTAGGTATCTACCCCGGAGAGTTGAAAACCTGTCCATACAAAGACGTGTACGTGTGTTCACAGCAATGTTGTTCACACTGGCCAAAGGGTAGAAACACCCCAAACGTCCGTCAGTGCATGAATGGATAAACAATGGTATGTATGTATAATGGGATATTATTCAGCCATAAAAAGAAATGCTGGCACGTGTTACAGTAGGGATGAACCTCCAAATATTATGTCAAGCGAAAGCAGCCAGGCACAAAGGGCCACGTACTGTGTGATTCCATTCATATGAGAGGTTTATAACAAGTCCGCGGAGACAGACAATACACGTGTGGCTAGCTAGGGTGGGCCCTGGAATCCCCCACGTCAGGCATAGGGTACCTTATAGATGATGGAAGTGTCTGAAATTAGGGCAGGAGTCGTATGACTTGATAAATTTACTAGAAGTCTTTGAGGTACACCCTTAAACCAAGGTAAACCAAGCGCCAAATTTGGGTTTGGAAAACCGCCTATGGATCCTGTGAGCCGAGGTAACGCTGGGGCCCCAGGTCAGCCCGCGGGAGGCCCCCCACCGCTCCAGGGCTGCCCAGCTCACCTCTGACGAGCCTTTCAACGGCCTGCTCAGAGTGCTTCTCCTGAACACAAGGACCCAGGTGGCAGGAGGCAATCGGGGCGGCTTCGTGGCCCTGATTAAGATGGGTGGATTTAATGTTGAATAAATTACACCTCAGTAAGTTGCTTAACCAAAAAAACGGCCTGGCCCCAAACTGGTGACTGACAAAGTTGCTGCCTCGCTTAGCTGTGGTCCCTGTCGCAGAGCTCCTCTTGTAATACCCAGTCCCGGGCACTCATGACCAGTTTCTCCGTTCCCGGGTCGGGTGCTGACATTTTGGTGTCTGCCACGAAGCCGCCCCGATTGCCTCCTGCCACCTGGGTCCTTGTGTTCAGGACAAGCACTCTGAGCAGGCCGTTGAAAGGCTCGTCAGAGGTGAGCTGGGCAGCCCTGGAGCGGTGGGGGGCCTTCCGCGGGCTGACCTGGGGCCCCAGCGTTACCTCGGCTCACAGGATCCATAGGCGGTTTTCCAAACCCAAATTTGGCGCTTGGGAATCTGCCAGCAGCCTTCACGCTCTGTCCAGAGCTACGTTTAAAATCTCAGAGAGGTGGGGCCTGCAGGGCAGTGGCTCAGGCCCTGGTTTGGGTGCTAATTGCAGACCGGAGGAGGGGGTTCCCGGAGAGCTCCCTCACGGAAGCCACAAGGACAGCCCTCTGAAGGTGGGTGCTGGAGTGTGTGCTTCAGCGCGGGCGATGGCTGCCTGGCCTCCTGGCTTCAGCTCAGCAGCTTGGGGAACTGCAGTCAGCGGGTAGGGATCTTGGGGAGCTATGGCTGGCAGTGGGAGGGGCTCGCTACCAGGAAGGCAAGGGCACTGAGCTGCAGCTACGGCCACAGGCCGCCTCCAGGGAGGGGAAATCCTTGTGATGCAAGGGGCCCCTGAGAACAAGAATGAGTATCCGATTGTTACATGGTTGGCCCCAGGTGTCAGGTGCCAGGCACTTCCCAGGCATGTCCCAGTCTCCCCAGGGTTCCACACAAGGCACCTGAAAGTAGACAAAGCAGACCCCTGGGGGGCATCTGAAAGCCCCTGGGGGGAGGGGCGCTCTGGAAGACTCCTGCTTTCCCAGCGACCCCCAGACCCCCACGCCTCACCTTGATGGTGGGTGGAGCTGGGCACCTTGGACCCCACCCTCGCACACAGCTCAGTCAGGGCTACGTGGTTACTGAAACCTGACTGAGGTTTGAAGGTAGGTAGCACAGGAGAACATCCTCTAACAAAAAAATTTAAGGCTAGAACTTAAGGGACGGAGATCAGGGAGGTGCCCAGGTAGCCAGCGGCTGCCCTTCCTGCGTCGTCAGCCCCACAGCCGTGAGAACCAGTGCTGCTTTGCTTTGTGTGTATCTTCTCACTAAAGCGTGACACGTATGGAAGGGTGGGGAGTATTGGGTAGCTTCTGGAGAGTTGTCTTGGCAGCTCGGGTGAGCTGTTGGTGCCTTTGTACTGCTAACCGCCTGTAAGCTACGGTGTGGGAGGCATTGGGAACCACTCCTTGTCTCCATGCTTCCTGTGTCACTTAGCGAGCCACCGAGCATAGCTAATCACGTTGGCTGAAAATGGGCCACCTAAAGCAGTCTGCTGCGTGCAAAGTGCATGAGTGGGACACATTCTTTGGAGGTGGGAGGCAGGGCTTCTGCAGAGCAGAAGGCAGCATCGTGTCTGGCGTGGAGGGACAGGCACCAAACTGGGCCTGAGCCGTGTGTGTGGAGGCTGTGAGTCTGTACTTGCTGAGCAGAGGCTCTGACCAGCCCCCAGCGTTCCCTGAGCGGAGGGTGGGGATTTGGTGCCCACTTCCCAGATGTCCGTTTGTCCTCTGCCTCTCACAGGCCTGGCAGCTTGACATGGAGGCCTTGAGAGGAAGACACAGGTCCTGCAGCCCAGCGAGAAGGCGACCGTGCCGGACCGTGGCCCACCACGAGGCAGGGTGTGCAGTGGTAGGCTGGCTCCTGGGGTGCGCGGACCCTTTGCCGAGGGTCGGTCTCTCCGCCCGTAGCCTCTAGGCCTGGGCGTTTGCCTTACCCAGGTGGCTCTGTGTGGCCTGTGGTCATGCAGGCACAGTACGTGTCACCATGGCAGCACTTTACTTGTCGAGGAATTAATTTAGGTCTAGAATTTGGTCCAAAAGGTTCCTTGGGGGGTGGGTGGCAGAGAGGAGGAGTGGAGTCTGGATGCCAGCCACCTGACACCCAAGAGGTTTGACACTAAATTTCCCTCACTTCTATCTAAGCTTTGGACCTGGCTCTTCTGGAGCTACTTTGGGGTGGGTAGGGTGGAGGTTGTTTCCATGCTAATCTTTGGGGTGACCCCACCCAGACCTGCTAATTCTGGGTAGGGCCCAAGAGGCTCCTCTCCTCCCACACCCTTGTGACCGATGGTCACAGTAGGGCAAGTTGGTCTGGGGTGGGACCTGGATGGGGAAGGAGCTCTGTGTGCGGAGTGACCGGGGCACCTCCTGCCTGTGTCTTACAGGTGCCCATCATCCCCCCGGGGCGAGGCTCTGCCCAGTACTCGCCCAGGGAGCAGTGTCTACACGCAGGAGCAGTTCTCTGACCACATGTGCACGATGCTGGCGGGCAGGGTGGCTGAGCAGCTGTTTTTTTTTGGGGGGGGGGTCACAGGTCAGGGGCCGAGGGTGACTTGAGGAAGGCCACCCAGAGCGCCTATGCTCAGGTAAAGGGCAGGGACCCCTGCAGGGTGGGATCCAGCCAGGTTCACCCCCAGCTCCTTCCAGATTGTGCAGTTTGGGATGAGCGAAAAGCCGGACCACGTGTCCTTCGACTTTCCCCGACAAGGCGAGATGCTGGTGGAGAAGCCGGCTAGTGAGGCCGCCGCCCAGCTCACTGAGGAGGAGGTGCGGTGCCTGTCGGCTCCACCTGTGAGCAGGCCCCGGCCCCGCTGACCGGCTGCTGAGAGCAGGTGGAAGAGGTGAGTGGGGCAGGTCCTGGCTTGGGTTTGGGGCTTGCCTTCGCAGTGCCTGCTGTCCTGGGAGCGGCTGAGTGATAGGCAGCTGCGATTTCTAGGCGGCAAGCGGCTGCTGGAGAAGGGCAGACATGGTGAGTTGCTGGGGCGCCGGCCCTTTGCGGAGAAGCCCGCCTACAAGGCGTTTGTGAAAGGCGCCAGCAGCCTGGAGGAGGACACCTCCCTTCCTGAGGGGCTGACGGCCTGGAACCAGGGGCGGGAGGAGGGGGCTGCAAAGCGCTGCGTGCAAGAGAGCCCAGCTTGGCAACCCTGGCTTTGAAAGCTGCTGCCAGAATCACTGGGAAACACCTTAAAACCTGATAAGGGCAAACGAGCATTTTGGATGCCTAGAGGATGGGGTCCCGAGTCAGAGGGGCGGGCCGTGAGCCGTAACTCCCCTGCCCCACAGGAAGCAGAAGGCACGCCTCTTCCTGGTGGAGCCTTGAGTTTAGACCTTCATGGGCCTCCCTTGAGGGGAGGGGGGTGATGGGTGGATTTGGTGGGGACAGGTGTGAGTGCTGGTGTCCTTAATCGCCCCAAGGAGAAGAGGCTTTGGCTCAGTTCAGAAATTTCACGGTTTAGTGAAGTGGCAGAATTAAGGGAAAAAGCAGCCAGTTACCAAGGGGAAGTGTTGGGTTTGGGTTGGTGGAAGGCCTGTCAGTGGTTCTGAAGGAAACGCCACGCTTCCCACAGGTGCGTGGTTTTGGGGAGGGTCGTGGAGCCATGGGGGCCCCGAAGCCCACCCTGCCCCCAGCACCTGGGTGCTGCTCTGAGCTCTCGGGAGGCAGTCTCTCCGCCGAGGCCAGCACCCATTCTCAGAGCAGACAGCTTTACTGACCAGGGCGTGTCTGGATTTAAGTCCCTTCTCCAGCTGGCCGTGTTCCCTGTGACCCCCTTTTGTTAGAATCACAGAGAGGGAGGGTCTGGACCGAGCTGGGGAACCTGTGGGTTGTGTGCAGAGAGTCCTGCTGTCGCTGCCCCCGGTAACCCTCTTCCTGGTGTTTGGGCGGCTGCCAGACGAGAGGAAGGCCAATTCTGGCTTGTGAGCTCTAGGCCTCTGTTGCCTTAGATTGTCTGGTTGGTCTGAGAGCGCGGCAAGGGCCCCAGCCCGGGGAGCTGGGGTCAGGACTGGAAGCCTGGGGTCATTGGCAGCATCCCTGCTTGCCTCCCAGAGTCCTCGGCACCACGACAGTAAAGGGGTGTCAGCCGCTGCCTCTCAGGGGGCGGGTGGATGTCTGGGACCCTGGTGACACCTGCTTGCCTCCCAGCTGTTGCTCACGGCACCCCGGGTGTGGGGGTGGGGCGTCTCCACTTGCCACACGTGACCTCTGTTCTCTGCTTGGTCAAGACCAGACGCTGGGATTTGGTTTAAAAATTTCCGAATCATTTGTTGTGTTTGCTTCAAAAATAGAATTTCCAAGTTGAGACAAGCACTTTCTGTTTTGTTGTGTGTAAGACATGCCATCGTTGAATTTTTTTACTTTTCCAGAGCTCACCGTGTCATGAAGTCTCCACTAAACTCAGCCTTCATTAGCTGAGCTAATGGGACCCTCTGACAGAGGTGGGAGGTGCTCTCCTCAAACCCGTGAAAGCCCCATGATGTCCAGGACCTGGGCATTGGTCCATTTTGGGGCTTGGTGCAGCCTCCTCAGGCTCACACCCCCAGCACACGTAGGTGAATCCCAACCCCTGCTGTTTGTTTGTCTTGGATACCCTTGCGCTCGCTCCCTCTGGAGTCTCCTAAGCCCTTTCCTTCACCCCTTCACCCTGTTTGGGCCACCTGGCCACACACTACACAGGCTTTGAGTCCGTTCCTGGGCCCAGGGATGTGGGAGACCTGGCCTAGAACCTTCCATCAGGGAGGCTCGGGCTTCCCTCCAGAGAGGCCAGCAGGAGGAACTGCCTGGCAAGGAGCCCTGGGCCTGTTTTCTGGGCCCCTTGTTACATGGGTAATCAAAAGAATTGGGGTTTGGGCCTCACCCTTGGCCTTCTCCTCACAGGCCCAACCTGCTGGCTGCCTCCTCGTGACCAGTCGCTGCTCTGGGAACCTGCCTGGGCTCAGAAGACTTGCCGGGGAGCTACCTCGGGCCTGGGCGTGTGCTCGTGCATGCGTAGGAGGGGATCTTCACTTCCTAAGGACTAGAAATCCAGGGCACTTGTCCCTGACACGTGACCCATATAAGCAGCCCAGAGTACAGCACCGAGGAACCCCCAGTGGCTTCAGCTGGAGAAGGCCCAGCGCAGTTTTGCTGCTAGGGCAGCTCCTGTACCCTCGACACGCTCTTCTGAGCTCTGGTGTCACCTAGAAAGGAAGAGACACCGGTTGGGCCTTGGGAAAAGGTGAGATTTTAATCCCAATGTTTGTAAATAAACTCTGCGGAAGCCATAGCAAGAAGGCTAGAGATGGAGGGAAAAGACGCAGGGGGCGGGGGGGCCATGCAGCTGCCCTGACGGGGTTTGTGTTTAAGCGGACTTCTGGATGGTGCCTGGCAGACATCCTCTGCGTTGGTCCTCCTCGCGTGGAGGCAGCAGGCCTGTGTTCTCAGCGGGGGACTTGCCTTTAGCTGTGCACAGCGGGCCCAGGGCACGCCCGGGGCTTCCATAGGAGGGCAGGTTCTCCTCCCGTAGAAACGTTTCGGTGGGAAACGGGTCAGGGCGGGTTGGCCTGGGGACCAAAAGCAGACTTAACGTCTTTATTTTTAAACTGTTCTTGGATTTGCTGTCGGACCAGAAGCCTCTTTCATCCCTTAGCTCATAAAAAGCAGCATTGGGAGCAGCTGAGCCTGATGCCCTTAAGTTGGGGCTTGGGGGCTGTGCGAGGGCCCCTCATATTCCCAGTCCTCCTTGGGCGTCTCTGCCCCAGGCCAGGACGCCAAGCAGGGGCACAGATGCCGGACTGTGTCCCGGGCAAGGGCAGACCCCGCCCACCCACACAGTCTGAGGCGGTTGTGCCTTATTTGGTGTTACGAACCACGGAGGGTGGGCTCGGCTGTCACACGGGGACCAAGACAGGCAGGGTCTTAGGGCCTGAGGAGGGGGCCCTGGTGCCAGCAGTGCTCCCTGGGTGGCAAGAAGAGGATGGGACTGAAATGGAGGTGGCATTGTTCAGGACGGACTCCCCTACCCCACACACTTGGCTGGACAGCAGAGCATCCCACGGGCTGGAGCACGGTGTGGCCATTCCCAGACCAGAACCCTGAGGCCCTCAGGGGGTTTGCAGAGAAGCTGCCTCCGACTTTGGTCCCCCTCACCCCACACCCCCTCGGGATTCCTGTGGCAGATGAGAGCACCCCTCCTGCAGATAGAAGTTTCCAAAAGACCTAGGCCACTCCCACCTCGTCCTCAGCCATTGTTGTCCGAGACTCAGGGACTGGGACGGAGGGGGACATAAGGCCATTGGGCTGTGCTTGTGCTGGGGCACCCCGAGAACCTGACCCAGAGCCACATGGGTGGGCAGTGTCCATGGGGTCAGTATTGTCCGGATTTTTCCTGCCTGGGCCCCGGGGCCAGCTGGCCTAGTCCTCCTTGGGCCTCTCCACGGTGAGAAATGTGTCCACAATTGCTGGTTGGCGCTCCTGGTCACCAAGTGGCTGCTTTTCTCGGTTCTGCTCGGCCCTGGTTCGCGTCCAGGAGGGGGAGCGCAGACAGCCAGACCGGGGTAGTGGGTGCAGGCCTGATGGGAACATAAGGGTCAGGTCATTCCTGCAGCTACTGGGCTGGGCCCCCGTGTGCCTCTCACACGGGGTCTGGCTGCACACTGGGGTCCCCCGGGTGTTTAGAAAACACAGATGCCAGGCCACTAGCATTGCGGACATGGGGGTCTGGAGGCGGCATGGGCAAGGGCGTTTGTGATGCCCACAAAAAAGAGGGTCTCTGTGCAGCTGAGATCCCACCCTGGCTGTGAACCTGGCCCACAGCATCTGAGCAGTCCGTCACCCTCCCAGGGTGCAGGCTGTACAGTACAGAGCTGGAGCCTGAGCCCCCCATTCCACCCCCTGCCTGCACGAGGTGCGATCAGGGAGAGAAAACGGTCCCTGGGTCCCCATACCCCCACTGGCTGCGTGGCTGTTTCTGGAGCCCTATAGGTCTTGGGTCAAGGGCAACACTTCCCCAGCAACTGAAGGGGAAACAAAGGGCTGAACTGTGGTGCCGGGGTCGATGAAGGCCACCCTGCTTGGCTTAGCCTAACTTGTGAATGATTACATTCACATTTAGTAAATTTCACTTTTTGGTGGGACTATGGCTTTGGCCTTTTGTTGGCGTTTGGAAAGGAGAATTGAGGAAAACAGGAGGGAAATTCCTTAAAGTTGGGCAAATAGACATGTAAAATGCAAAAATATTGGGATGCTTGGCTGGCTCAGTTGGAGGAGCATGCAATTCTTGACCTTGGGGTCGTGAGTTCGAGCCCTACGCTGGGGATAGAGATTACTAGAAAGAATAAAATGCCAAAATACTGAACGAAACGGTACAGTGACAAACACTGATTTTGACACACATGTGAGCAACAGTTATTTTCCGAAATAGGGGTTTGAGGAGAGCTGTGTTCGGTCGGCTTGGGCCCCAGGACCGCCCCACGCTGCTCACTGCGCCCCAACGCCAGCCCACCTGCTGGCGACTCGCTGGCCAGGCTCTCGTCGTCCGAGTCAGCAAAGACCTCAGCCAGCTCCTGGTCGGACATGTCTGTCAGCTCAGTGAGATCCAGGAGGTCAAAGTGCACCTCCAGGGAGGAGACGCTGCTCAGGGGCTCTGCGGGGCCGGGCAGGGGGATGGCTCGTCATGGGCGCAGTCCGTCCACCCTAGGCCCCCCATGAGCCCCAGGGAAGAAGAGCTCCGGGTGAAGCCCTGTGTGGCCAGGATAAGACGGGGCAGACCCAGACACCCCCGTACTCCACACACTCAACCCTAAACACCTTCTGGGGCCCCCCACTTTGCAGATGGTACAGCCAAAGCCCACAGAGCCGGAGCTGTGAGAGCTCAGCACCACCACCACTGCCACCCTGGATACACCTGGGGTACTGTTTGGACAGGATGGGGACCCTGCCCTCCATTTCCCAGGGGTTCATGGTCCCCGTGGGACACACGCTGGGCAGGTCAGCTGTACTTACGCCGCCTCTCTGTGACCTGCAGGAGCCCCGGTGCTGGTATCGGGATGCCCACCTCCTCCTCGGCCGTGGGCGAGTGGCAGCTGTCTCCTGTCCCATGGGCCAGGGTGCCCAGGGCTGCCTGTGGCACCTCAGCCTCCTTAACCATTTCTGCAACAAAGACGGTGTTACCTGGGAGGAGAGATGGGGGCGGGGAAGACCTGGGTGTTTGGTTCACTGAGCCCCCCTTTGAGGCCCCGGGCAGTGAGCAGGGTAGCCTCGGGTAGCCTTGGGCCCAGATGCCAGACGAGGGCCACTGGGCAGTGGCCTCCTGTGGATGGGGAAGGAGGTGTCCAACAGCGTCCTCTGTCTCTACTCTTAAGTCCAGCCAAGGGTGCAGTGGTCTCTCTAGCATTTCCTTGCCTTTTGGGTCCCTTTGATCCAGAATGGCCCCTGCTGGCCTGCCTGCCCTCTGTGGATTGACTTTTAAAGTCCTATGCTGTTGTGTTTGAATGCTGAATAACGCATTTTCATAGTAAGAGACTGAGGAGTGTTCCTCCAGGTTTGCGGGGTTTTTTTTTTTTTTGAAAGATGTAATTACTCGTGTTTTGCATTTGATGATTTTCTCAGATGAGAGCAGGAGGCCCTGTGGGCAGTCTGCTTGGTAGAGGCTGAGCCGCTCAGAGATGGGGTCCCTGCCCCCAAGGAAGCACCAGCTGCACCCTTCCGTTCCTCGGCCCAACACCTTGTCTTCTCAGCTCACGTCCCTCCATCCGTACCTCCTACCAGCCTCTCCGAAATGTTCCAGAACCCACCCATCTCCCCCTCCTGCTGCCTGACCTTGTCACTCCCTGAACTCAGCCAGAGGACCTGTGAGGCACGTCCCTTGAGGCAGCTGGACCCCTTGGTTCCTCCGTGTCCCTACTGTGGCCCCCAAAAGAGTGAACAAATGCCTCCTGACTCCCCTCAGCAGTGCTCTGCAATGCCCCAGCGTCCATGCCTGTCCCACGGGGTCAACATTGAGAGCTGGGTGTGTGCGAAGCTACAGGAGCATCTGCCTTGAGTGTTGCATCTAGGAGGGTCCAGTCGGGCCCCCACTGCCAACAGCTGCCTGTTAGGGGTGGGCCTGTCCCCCCCAACAGGGTGGTCAGCAGCCTGGATGCCGCCCAGCAGGTCCTGTGGGCCTAAAGGGTTTCCAGCTGAGTGGGAAGATAATGCCATCCATTCACAGGTGTAGGGCTCTCTGGGTAACACCTTGGCCTCCTCTTGGAGGGTACCACTGTTCCTGGGAAGTATAGCTGAGGGGAGATGGGACTGGGCCCTGCCCATGCTGTGTCATCACATGGGGCTTG